CAGTTAGTTCACTGGGATATTTAAAGACCTCGGATGCCATTGGTTATCTTAATACTGCAGTAAGTGCTCCAGGCTATTTAAAGACATCGGCTCACATTGGTTATTTCCGTACTGCAGTTAGTGCACCAGGCTATTTAAAGACATCGGCTCACATTGATTATCTCCAGACTGCAGTTAATGCACCAGGCTATTTAAAGACATCAGCTCACATTGGTTATCTCCATACAGCAGTTAGTGAGCCAGGCTATTTAAAGACATCGGCTCATATTGTCTATCTGCATACTGCAGTTAGTGCACCAAGCTATTTAAAAACATCGGCTCACATTGGTTATCTCCATGCTGCAGTTAGTGCACCAGGCTATTTAAAGACATCTGTACATATTGGTTATTTCCATACTGCAGTTAATGCAGCAGGCTATTTAAAGATATCGGATCACATTGGTTTTCTTCATGCTGCAGTTAGTGCAACAGGCTATTTAAAGACATCGGCTCACATTAGTTATCTCCAGACTGCAATTAGTGCACCAGGCTATTTAAAAACATCAGCTCACATTGGTTATCTCCATGCTGCAGTTAGTGCACCAGGCTATTTAAAAACATCGGCAAACATTGGTTTTCTCCATGCTGCAGTAAGTGCACCAGGCTGTTTAAAGACATCGGCTCACATTGGTTTTCTCCATGCTGCAGTTAGTGCACCAGGCTATTTAAAAACATCGGCAAACATTGGTTTTCTCCATGCTGCAGTAAGTGCACCAGGCTATTTAAAGACATCGGCTCACATTGGTTATTTCCATACTGCAGTTAGTGCACCAGGCTATTTAAAGACATCGGCTCACATTGGTTATTTCCATACTGCAATTAGTGCACCAGGCTATTTAAAAATATCGAATCACATTGGTTATCTCCATGCTGCAGTTAGTGCACCAGGCTATTGAGAGACATCGGCTCAATTGGTCATCTCCATACTGCAGTTAGTGCACTAGAGTATTTAAAAAAATCGGCTCACGTTGATTATCGACATACTGCAGTTAGTGCACTAGGTTATTTAATTATATCGGCTCACATTGGTTATATCCATACAGCAGTTAGTGAACCAGGCTATTTAAAGACCTCGGATCACATTGGTTATCTTAATACTGCAGTAAGTGCTCCTGGCTATTTAAAGACATCGGCACACATTGGTTATCTCCATGCCGCAGTTAGTGCACCAGTCTATTTAAAGACATCGGATCATATTGGTTGTATTCATACTGTAGTTAGTTCACCGGGATATTTAAAGACCTCGGTTCACATTGGTTATCTTAATACTGCAGTAAGTGGTCCAGGCTATTTAAAGACATCGGCTAACATTGGTTATCTCCATGCTGCAGTAAGTGCAACAGGCTATTTAAAGACATCGGCTCACATTGGTTATCTCCATACTGCAGTTAGTGCACCAGGCTATTTAAAAAAATTGGCTCACA